GTGGCTATATAGATATACTTAATAAAGTGCAAATATGGTCAGTTTATGTTGATGCGTTTAAATAATTTTGTTATACTAGTCAGCCTTAGGTATCAAAATTACTGAAATTTTATTGCGAGACAATATTTTGAATAAAAAGAGGATATGCTGGCAATCTTTATTGATAGGGACAATTTTTTGTTGTCATTGTGTTGCAATGTTGCTGTCATTTCTATTTTACAATCCATCCTGACAATAAGATATAGCAGATTTATTATGTGGCTATAAGGATATTCATAATATTAAAAGGGCAAATATGGTCAGTTTTGGTTGATGCTTTAAAATAATTTTGTTATACGAGTCAGCCTGAGGTATCAAAACTACTGAAATTTTCTTGCGAGACAATATTTTTAATAAAAAGAGGACATGCTGGCTATCTAGATTGATGGGGATAAATTTTTGTTGTCATTGTATTGCACTGTTGCTGTCATTTGTTTTTATACAATCCATCCTGACATCAAGATATTGCTGATTAGTATGTGGCTATACAGATATACATAATAAAGTGCAAATATGGTCAGTTTTTGTTGATGCGTTTAAATAATTTTGTTATACTAGTCAGCCTTAGGTATCAAAATTACTGAAATTTTGTTGCGAGACAATATTTTGAATAAAAGAGGACATGCTGGCTATCTAGATTGATGGGGATAGATTTTTGTTGTCATTGTATTGCTGTGTTGCAGTCATTTCTATTTTACAATCCATTCTGACAATAAAATATAGCTGATTTACTATGTGGCATAGATTTACATAATAAAGTGAAAATATGGTCAGTTTTGGTTGGTGCGTTAAAATAATTTTGTTATACTAGTCAGCCTGAAGTATCAAAATTACTGAAATTTTGTTGCGAGACAATATTTTGAGTAAAAAGAGGACATGCTGGCAATCTAGATTGATGGGGACAAATTTTTGTTGTCATTGTGATGCAATGTTGCTGTCATTTGTATTATACAATGCATCCTGACATCAAGATATTGCTGATTTACTATGTGGCTATATAGATATAATTACATAATAAAGTGCAAAAATGGTCAGTTTTTGTTGATGCGTTAAAATAATTTTGTTATACTAGTCAGCCTGAGGTATCAAAACAACTAAAATTTTGTTGCGAGACAATATTTGAATAAAAAGAGGACATGCTGGCAATCTAGATTGATGGGGACAAATTTTTGTTGTCATTGTGTTGCAATGTTGCTGTCATTTGAATAATGCAATCCATTCTGACATCAAAATATTGTTAATTTACTATGTGGCTATATAGATTTACATAATAAAGTGCAAATATGTTTAGTTTTGGTTGATTCGTTAAAATAATTTTGTTATACGAGTCAGCTTGAGGTATCAAAACTACTGAAATTTTGTTGCGAGACAATATTTTGAATAAAAAGAGGACATGCTTGCAATCTAGATTGATGGGTACAAATGTTTGTTATCATTGTATTGCAATGTTGCTGTCATTTGTATTATACAATCCATCTTGACATCAAAATATTGCTGATTTACTATGCAGCTATATAGATTTACATAATAAAGTGAAAATATGGTCAGTTTTGATTGATGCATTAAAATAATTTTGTTATATGAGTCAGCTTGAGGTATCAAAATTACTGTAATTTTGTTGCGAGACAATATTTTTAATAAAAAGAGGACAAAAATATTTCCAAATTTTTTAACTCTAAATAAATTAACAGATTGACACATTCCCCATTTCCATTCTCAATTTTATTATTAAGTGCAAATATGGTCAGTTTTGCTTGATGTGTTAAAATGATGGCACTGGCTACGGTTACATGGAAATGTAACAATAATATAAAAATTATTGTTACATTAGAGACTAATTACCGGAATGCAGGGTAGGGTAAGGAAACGATTAATTACGAATGTAACAATAATATTTGGGTCTACGGTTACATTGCGTCATTGTTACATTAAAGACTGCAATGTACGCTAGATTTGTTAAACTTAAACCTTCTATAGTTTTGTTGCTTAATTCTTCGATAGGTACGAGATAATAATAGTAATAATCATATTATTATTCAACAAATTTTTAATTATTGATTGTTTTGATGTTGTTAAAGAAACTACAACTGTTCAATGGAGCATTTACTGTCACCAATAAGAACGAAATTACGATCACAAAATATCTGGACTCTGAAAATTAAAACACTGTTTCCACCAGTTTCAACCTGTCGGCTAATTTCAACATAAGTTGCTTTCACAATTGACATATTTAAACAACCTCACATGCTTCCAACAAAAAATTGGGCGAAAATATAAACATTGCAAGAGTAAAAAAAATATTTTTCACCTGAAGCATAGCAGACATTGAGAGTTTCTTTAACTTCAAAAAGGGAAAGTGCAGAATGGAATTACAATACAGAGCGTGCACATTTGCCGTATCACTGGTTTGTGATGGCTGCTTAGAGTGGTTTCACCAAAAATGCGTCGGACTAAAACATGTTCAAAAACTACATACTGGATTTGTAGAAACTGTAATTGTAAATAAAAATTTTAAATATTGTATGCATGCAATATCTAAATATCAAATAAAAGTTTTCAAGTTTTATTCTAATACATATTACTAGGCCCATCGTACACTTCAGTGCGTTAATGTAACAATAACGCGATGTAACTGTAGACCCAAATATTATTGTTACATTCGTAATTAATCGGTTCCTTACCCAACCCTGGATTCCGGCAATTAGTCTCCAATGTAACAATAATTTTTATATTATTGTTACATTTCCATGTAACCGTAGCCAGTGCCTAAAATGATTTTGTTGTACATGTACCAGTCAGCCTGAAGTATCAAAACTACAGATAATATATATATGTTCCTGAGACGGTAAAAAAAAATGTTATATTGGAGCCAGTCTGAGATGTGAAAACTACTGATTTTTTGTGATGATTCAATTATTTGAATAAAATAAGGACATGCATACTTGCACTTAGAGCTCTGACTTGCACTGTTGATTGGTGCAGAAAAAGAAATATTATTAATATTACGCTGGTCATAAGCATGATTATCGGTACACCATTATTGCTTTCAATTATCATGATTATTTGATATGATCTAAGTACTATTCGTTTTTGGCATTGTTTGTCGATTTTATCTGAAAACCAAGTTTATAAGATTTACGCTACATTTTAAAACCGATAATAATAGCATTGTAACCAATATCGTTTTTAATTTATAGATGAACAGATCGCGGATGAATTTGCATTACAAGCAAAATTTTATGCGTACTTTATTTACAAATACATGTATATATATGTTTAATCTGTATTGTTTATATAACCATCATAGGCATGAGCACGCAGGTTTTAATTTAATACATTAATTTACAATATTGTGATCAAAATTCGTTTTTTAAAACAAATAAATAATTTTGTAGTCGCACGCTTTCTTTGAAATTTAATTGCATTATGGGTAATTTCGGATCGTGTAGATAGAATGGGGAATGGTGTATGGTGCAATGTGTAAGGTGTATGGTGCAAAGGTGTAACGTGTATGTTGTACTGGCACAAGGTGTATATATGGTGTAATGGTGTATGGTGAATGGTGTAATGGTGTATGGTGTAAGTGGGAAGTTTACACCATCCAAGGACTGTATGTGACGTCATCGGGCATGGTCGCCTTTTTTTCATAATGTCATAATAGGAATTTCAGAGGAAAGAAAGAACATTTGACGTCATAATGGATTTTTTCCCAATGAAGAACTGAGAAGAAACGAACCACACTTTGATTAAATAAAAATAATCAATAGGTTAGGAAAAGGATAAATCGGGAAAGAATTAGATCAATTGTATTATAGAAATATAAGAAGGTTTAGACAATCATTCGAGCAATATCTTAATTCTGAGTAAAAACAGTGAAAAACAATATTTAACATGTTTAATTTGACATTTAATAAAGATGAAGAGCTGCCTTTAGTGACATTGCAAAAGTTAATGAGACAAAAACAATAAATCTAAATGAATATCAATATACATAATAATAGCATTAAATTTGAAAAAGGCAACATTGAAGTTCCACTCAAAGTGTCGTTATGTATAATATTAAATCAGTAAAATACTAAATATACAGAATATACATTTAAACACTGTTATGCATAGTTTGTTTGACTTGTTCGTTTCATGTTCAATGAAAAGTATCTGATACATTATTAAGACAAGTTTAAAATGTATATCATTTCTTCAGATCTAAAAAGAAGAATGATTCAAAGATTGAACATATTATTATTAGAACAGCTTTAAAGCATATAGGTACAATTCCAGTTGGAATTAAGCCTTGTATAATGTTTCACTGCAAACAATTCCCTATAGTTATTGCCTTTGTCCTTCACGGTAAAAAAAAAGTACGACATCCTCTCTGCAAATGCTTTATACTAATCAGGTCCTGCCAGTTCTAAACTTTAGGAATTTCAAATAACTTACCATTTTTCCAAACTTTATTTAAAAAATTTTTTTTTCGAATTTAAAAAGAACTAACTAGATCTAATTGTGTCCTTAATAAATGAAAACCTGTATAAAATTATTGTGAATGAATTCTTATTTATTTCATTTATACTAAAATAGGCAAATAACAGTGAAGAATAGTTATGATCACTGCAAAAACGCTATGTTGGCACAGAATAAATCAGATGTGATAACATATAATATAAACATCGAACTTTTAATAAAATAACTAAAAAACAATTCACTATGGAAAAAAAATCATGATTACAAGATCTTGGTATCAGAGATACTCCCACTCACAGCATCTGACAGATATACATTTAAATTTCAAATGAAAATTTCTAAAAGAGGTTCTCCATTTATTATACGGAAACTAATTTGCAACGATCAAGAATCATAACTCGGGAATGGTAAAAATGAAAACGACAAAATTTCAAATTTGATCTGTGTTGAGTGAAAATAAATAGTTTAAACGTAGTTACCTTATTTTTTACTGTACTTACATTTAACATCCAAAACTTTATTAGCATTAACTCTGCCCAGTATATTGGATGCTTGACATACTATACTTTGCTTGTTATGAGTTTTGTTTACACTAGATGTCAATATTGATGTCACTGTGATAGTATTATTAGATTCTGTAACTGTCTGTGATATTGTAGAACTGGATGTAACATTATTTCCACCAATAGTCCATGTAAAACTAGCAACAGTTCGACTTCCATATGATGTACATGATACTGTCAGTGGTAATGTCTCCTCTGTACTGACTTCATTTGTATTGAAAATTGGTGTTAATGGTTTTACTAAAATTTATATAACTCATTTTTAATAGGTAATATATAAAGAGGATAATGTTCAGTAATAACCAAATATAAACAGACCACATCCCTGTTCACTGTTTGATAAAGATGCATTTTTCATATCATTGGTGATGTACGGGGATGTTACTAGAATTGCTGTGAATGACTTATTTCTTTACAAATACTTGGACATGATTTACTTAATAAGGGGATAATAAATTGTATAAAAAAAAATATCGTAAAACGGTTGGGACAATACTATAAGTAGGATGTAGGAATTGATGTTATAAAGTAATTATGTCGTAGACTATTCCAATTGTAGCGCAAGATCGTGATCATAAAATTAGTTCATTATAACCATCTAGTGATTTCCAGCACAACCACCTTTCGAAATTAGCTTACTATTACTTACAGTTTAGAGATATCTGTACTGTTGTTTTCATTGGATTGTCTAATGCATCACTAGTAGCTTGACATACTATTGACTTCTGATGATAATCTCTAGAAATCGTTGGTATTGTGTAGCTTACTTCCTGTGTATTATTTGGTCTTGTGTCATCCATAATTGACACGTCAGGTGGAGGCTTTCCACAATCTACTATACATTTCATAAGTAAATCTGATCCTTCCGTACCTTTCAGAATATTGTTTGTTAATCCATTGAAATATAAAGATGTCGGAGGTACTGTAAAGAAATATATGCATTGTACAAATAATGCCATTTTGTTATAATGAAATCGAAAGCCAATAAGCCATACTGTAATTATTCGTAACTCTTATTTAGATCGTTCTCACTCTTAAGTTTTCCCAAACCATTATGTATAGCCCTAATTATTTGGTATACATTACTATACTAGTCAACAAAAGAAACGATACAAGGCAATGTATTTTCCATATATAATGAAATTGGATACACTGTACCAAGGTAAATAATTGCCCAATTGGTCTAATATTTACAGAGTGTTATTTCTTATCAAAATCATTTATTTAAGACAAATACGCGAATTGTTTTCTTGGAATTTCTGGTATTTTAAAAATCGTATTTTCACCCACAAATTTTAAAATCGATATGAGAAGTTAAAACTTTAAACTTAAATATGGTCTGCTTAAAATTTTGAATGCCTTTGCAGATATTTGAATACTTAATTCTCATCTTCGAAATTAAGTGCAGAGTTTTGTCGTAATTATCCGCACATTAAATTTGACCCCTGTGTTTAATAACACGGTATTTTCTAATTTTCGAAGGAGTTGTAACATCACATGGATTTAATATATGTGTTACATAAAATTGACAATAGAAACGGGGAATGTGTCATGTAAATATTAAACATTTCTTATTTGCCAGTGAAGCACCCGAGCATGCTGTATTTTGAATTCATGCAATTCTTTCAGTTTCTGCTTGTTACCTATATGCATTTATGTTGAGTTTATATTTAATTGTTTAATAAAATTTTGATTTTTAGATAAATACATTCTATGTAAACCGTTTACCATGTTTATTTGTTCAATAGAATGTGATATTTGAATAGATACTTAATGTAGACTATTTATTTGTTAAATAGAATATGATTTTTAGATACACATGCGCGCGTAATTGATATACATTTTATGTAGACCATGTACAAATGTACTATTCAAAAGAATATACATTTTATTTAGACTATGTATTTGTTCAATAAATGTTGGTACCATGCATTTTATCATATATTTTGATATTACATGTTGGTAACATACATGTACCATGTATTTGGTCATTAAATGTATTAACACCATGTATTTGGTTAATAAATTTAAGTAACAGACCATGTTTTTGTTTATTAGATGTTACTTATATACTATGTATTTGGTCTATAGATGTTGGTAACAGACCATGTATTTGGTTATTAGATGCTACTTATAAACCATGTATTTGGTCAATAAATTTGATAACAGACCATGTATTTGGTCATTAGATATAACTTTTAGACCATGTTTTTGGTCGATAGATTTTGGTAACAAACCATGTATTTGGTCAATATATATGTTACTTATTGATCATTCAGTTGGTCAATAGATGTTGGTAACAGACCATGTATTTAGTCAATATATATGTTACTTATAAACCATTTATTTGGTCAGTAGATGTTGGCAACAGTCCATGTATTTGGTCAATATATATGTAACTTATTGATCATGTATTTGGTGATTAAATTTGCTATTTAGTTATATATTATTGGTCTTTACGATATGTCTGTGTCTAAACTAACTTCCGACATTTTTACCACGTCTTAGATTGGGATTTACCATCTGCGTCGTCTGTCTGCTAAATACCGAACGTGACCTATTTCCGAATACGACTGTTTTGCCGAGTGTGATTTCGCATTGGTATACGACGTGTCTCGGTATTTATACATCCAACATTCATGTGTTTAGCTATGATGTTTCTTTTGTAATTACTGTTGGAAATTGTGTTATGTCTTATCGTTTTTGGTTTGAATTCTGTATTTTTGGTACATTTCACATATGTCTAATTTGTCAGTATAGTGGAGTTAATTTCCATTTTCCATGAACAAAGTATTTTGTTAGTCCAAATAAATATAACGTCGTCTCCACATTAATTTAAAATAGCCTTTCAAGACCGTCATAATCATGATAATAATTTGGACTAGTATTTGAAAATAATTGTGAATTTTTGGATCTCGTTCCATATAATTGTATGAATTTCAAGATTATATATAATACGTCAAAATACTACGTCACTTTTGTATGCGTTGATCCATTCAATGTGACGCGCATTTTGTGGTGTCTTGTGTTGTCATTAATGGGAGATGTCCGTTGATATTCTGCGGTTTACATGTTGTAATGTACTTTTATATTATTTATTTATGCATTTCTGTTTGCTGAGTGTTCTTGCGTTTGTTTTTTACTGTATTTCTGTCACATAGTGTTGTAATTTAAGCGATATATTTAACATTGCCTTAAAGGAGGGAGGTTTGGCTAGCCATAAAACCAAGTTCAACCCACAATGTTTTTCTTACAATGTCCTGTACCAAATCCGGAATATGGCAGTTTCTATGTATGGTGGTGTTCGATTTTGTTGCAGTTCAGTGTCTCTTTTGTTCCGTTGTGTTTCCCTCAGTTGTTGTTTTTAACCAGGATTTTTTTCTCTTAATCGATAATCGATTTATGACTTTTGAACAGGGATATACTACTGTTGCCTTTATGTATTACTGTGTATAAATAACATGTGTTTTTGTTTATTAATGTTATACCATGTACATTGTAGACCAGGTATTTTTGTTTAATAGAATATGATTTTTTAGATATATTTATTTTGTGTAGACTTTGTTAATTGTCAATGAATATGATTTTTTAGATTTATATATAAATTTCATATGTAGACTATGTACTTGTTTAGTAGAATATGATTTTTTAGATATATTCATTTTATGTAGACCTTTATATGTTCTATAGCATATGATTTTTAAATATATAAACTCTATTAATGACATGTATTTGTTAAATGAAAAAATGATTTTAGATATATTCATTTTATGTACAACATGCATTTGTTCAATAGAATGAGATTTTAAAATATATGCCTTTGCGTTTGACCATGCATTTGTTCGAAAGGATATGATTTTTTTATATATACATTTTGTGTGGACCATGTTCATGTGTTTGATCAATAGATTTTACTTATAAATATATATTATTTCAATATGTTGGTAACAGACCATGTATTTGTTCAGTACACAATACTTATCAACCATGTATTTAGTCATTAGAAGTTACATATAAACCATATTTTTGGTCAATAAATCTTGGTTATAAGTTTAAAGACTATGTATTTAGGCTAAACATGTTACTTATAGAACATATGTTTCTTCAAAAGATATTGGTAATAGACCATGTAACTGGTCAGAAAATGTAATAATGGACAATATATTTGGTCATTAGATGTAACTTATCGACCATGATGGATCCGGTCTATAAATGTTTGCAATATACCACATTTGGTCAATATAATTTACTTACAATGTATATATCAGGTTTTTGGTCAATTGAATTTAATAATCAAATATACATTGTATATAGATCATGTTTTGGTCGGTCGATACAAGTTATTAAAAGCATTCTTAATTTTCCAAAAAGGGTTTCTTTGTTATGCACAAGATATGAATGGGTCATAGCAAAAGGTTATCAATCTAATTTAATCAAGCTTAGGTCGTTAAGTCTTTATTTCAAATGTATGCTTAAATTGATCTCTTACCCATACATCTGTTAAAATTTCTTGCTCGTCAAATTCGTTTTATTTATCTGAAAGCAGGTTTTATATTGAGGTTAATATTATGAAAAAGTTGCAGGGAAAATTGTTGATTTGACCTGCCTTTATGCTTGGGCTAGTATTTATCATTACTAAGAACTAATAAAAATTATTCGTCACATTCAGTATTTTCACTGTATGTTTGTTTTATTTATTTGAAAACAGCATATTATTGAAGGTGGATACATAATAAAGTTGCTGTAAAAACTGTTGTCATGGAACCTGTCTTAAAGTTTATTTTGCAGGACTTGCATGGGCTGGTATTGTATCACTACTTAGAACTTTTTAAATATTATTCAACTCATTCAGTATGTTTACTGTTTGTTTGTTTTATTTATTTACACGCAGCTTTTTATTGAAGGTTAATATTGTAACATAGCTGCTGTAAAAATTGTTTACAAGGACATCATTGTCTTTATATCTATTTGACAGTACTTGATTGGGCTTATATTATATCACTACTTAAAACTGATCGCATACTATTTATTATATTCAGTATTTTCACTGTTTGTTTGGTTTATTTATTGAAAAACAGCTTATTATTGAAGCTGAATATGTTATATAGTTGCTGTAAAAATTGTTGACATGAACATTGTCTAAATGTTTATTTTGCAGTACATGCTTGGGTTGGTATTGTATCACTACTTTTAAAATTTTATTCAACACATTCAGTATTTTCACTGTTTGTTTGTTTTATTTATTTGAACACAGTTTTTTATTGGAGGTTTATATTTTAACCCTTAGTGTGCCACGCCTTTTTGTTAAAATACCGTTGAGTGCCATAGAATAGGCCCTAAATTTGTAATTTGAACGGAAAACGTCATAAAGGAAGCGTAACAATGCACAACCTCATGCAATTGTTTTCGTCTGGAAACCGTTCTGTTTCAACGGTCGAATAATTTCAGGTAGATGTCTCTAGGTAAAGTTAAGGAAATGAGCAATCCAACGGAATTTTATGAAATTTTGCAGGAAATTGTTAACAGGGGGCTACCGAATTCATTTTTGTTGCACGCATCCTTCAAATGTATATGTTTTATCGAAAAACATCATTTTGCGATAGAATTTTCAATTTCTCTTTGAACTTATAAGTTTTTGGTGTTTCTTTTGTATATTCCGCATCCGTTTAAAAATCAAAGTTCCTGAACGTCTTTTGCGATATTTAAATGAATTCTATGCTTGCGTACCTCAGATTTCCAAATATTTAATTTGATATACGTATCGAAAAGTAAACAGCTTCATATATCATTTCCCTATACCGATTGGTGTCTGCCTGTTGACTTAACATGTTATAATGACGAATGGAATATTTACCGCTGGGCATTAAGAGTTATTCCATAATTTCAGAAACTTGTGTTCTTTGAATCGACTCTTAATCCATTCCATCTAATGTTTAATTTTTTCGTTCTTTTGTCCGATTATTTTTGGATAATTTGATTAATTTTTTTTAACGCTGGACACAAAGATTAGAATTAGATTAGCCACTTCTATGTTATGAAATACTTTTTAAGGTTTGAGCAAAATCCATTGCAGTCATTATTTTTGTTTAGCCCTCACGGTTATCACAAGTCTTTGTTCTTGTTTTGTGTTTTGCAATAAGTATTCGTCATCTGCAATCTTTTGCTAAATCTTTCAAATGATAACACATTTTATGTAAATTAATATTGTGAACTCGTGTACAATGTATGCTGAAACATAAGTGTCCTCACAAACAACGGTATATTGCTGGGTCTTCCAAGTGCTCCATGAAACCTCTTTCTAAATTATTAACATCAACATTATCAGCAATCAAATCCGGGCTTCAAAGTTATTGTGAAACTACCTTTTCTAGAAGTGGCGTGAATCAGATGTGGATACTAAAAAATTCCAAAGATCTTTAAGAGTACATACAATCTAAGACTCTTTCATCTTGCAATAGTATTAAAGCATTTGATTTTTCTACACTCCACACAAGTATTCTCCATTCCAAACTAAAAGACAAATTGAAAGAGTTGGTCCTGCTTTGTTTCATAAAAAAGAATGGCTAACGTAGATACAAGTATCTTGTCTTAGGGAGGGATAAATCCTACTTTGTAAAAAATCACTCTGATTCAAACAAAAAATTCTCTGAAACTGACATTATCAAGATGCTTGATTTCTTGATTGACAACATATTTGTTATTCATATGAGGCTGACGTCATACAGGAAGAAAGAAAAGAAGTTAGCAGTATCCTTTAACTTAATTTTCCGCTACATAGATGATGTTCTCTCAATAAATAATTCAAAATTTTGTGACTATGTTGAACGCATCTATCCCATGGAACTTGAGATAAAGGATACAACAGATACAGTTAAATCTGTCTTATATCTTGACTTAAATCTATAAGTTGACAATCAGGGTCGGTCGAAAACAAAAAAAAATTTGACAAAAGAGATGATTTCAGCTTTTCAATTGTGAACTTTCCATTTTTATGTAGCAACATTACAGCAGCGCCTTCATACGGAGTATATATCTCCCAGTTGATACGATACGCCATGGCTTTTATTTCCTACCCTGATTTCCTTGATAGAGGGTTGCTGCTCACAAGGAAGCTATTAAACCAAGAATTTCAAGTGGTGAAGTTGAAATCATCCCTTCGTAAATTTCAAGGACGCCATCACGAGTTGGTTGACCGTTACGGAATATCCGTTTCACAGATGATAACAGATATGTTCAAAATGTCGTAACTACAATCCTGTCCCCATTTCCCGAATGTGACCTACCGAATAAGACTTATTACCGGGCTTGTACAAACATGAGCAACACGACGGGTGCCACATGTGGAGCAGGATCTGCTTACCCTTCCGGAGCAACTGAGATCACCCCCAGTTTTTAGTGGGGTTCGTATTGCTCAGTCTTTAGTTTTCTATGTTGGGTTTTGTGTACTATTGTTTGTCTGTTTGTCTTTTTCTTTTTAGCCATGGCGTTGTCAGTTTATTTTCGACTAATGAGTTTGAACATCCCTTTGGTATCGTTCATAACATCTTTCTTGGTGGCTTAGTTGACCCCTTCTTAGGCCAAGGTATTGTATTCTGTTTTATTGTATTATCGTTTCATATTTTTCATTTACTATTATCTTGTTGTACAAATGTATATGTAAAATGTATATATTGTTTATTTTTATTTGAGAACAAATTTTAACCTCAATAAGTAAACATTCGCAATTCAACTTCTTGTTTTTCTTTTCATTTATGCATAGCCCAATATAATGTAAAATGCATGAGCTACTTGCTGAGTCATACAAGTGAATGTTAAACCTCTGGTGGTTTGGTTGGGTTGGAAGAGGAAATCATAAATAATAATATGTTGACACTTGTGGTCCTACGTGTATATGCTTGCGTTAGGCTTGTTTTGGTATTTTACATTATCTTATTTCTTTTTGGCGACTGCCTATGACGTCTTTGAGATCTAATGATTAATATTTTAGTCTTGAAAAGGTGATATATAAAAAGTTAAATCACAAAAATACTGAACTCCGAGGAAAATTCAAAACGGAAAGTACCTAATCAAATGGCAAAATCAAAAGCACAAACACATCAAACGAATGGACAACAACTGTCATATTCCTGACTTGGTACAGGCATTTTCTCATGTAGAAAATGGTGGATTGAACCTGGTTTTATAGGACTAAACCTCTCACCTGTACGACAGTTGCATCAAATTCCATTATTGACAATGATACGTGAACAAAATGTCACAAATAGGGGTACAACAACAACACGAACCCCATAAAAAAACGGGGGTTGATTTCAGGTGCTCCGGAAATGAGTTTGGTTGGATTTTAACAAGCTTTTGGGAATGCAAGTATAATTGTTTTTTTTTACTCTTAGACCGGTTCGTCGTACATTTTACTAGTGTTACTGCTAAGAACACATATGATGAGTCAAATTCTTTTCAACTATATTTGCATATACAATCTTTGTTTGCCTATTGGATGTCAGGAGCCTGTAATGAAGTGGTGTTCATTGGTGACGTCTGTTCACGTTATAAGCACAAATCATCCGTTATTTGTCTGTTTAAAATTATTCCACATTATGTCGGGGTTTTATAGCATACTATACAGTACGTGTTTTGTTCGTTATTAAAGTACTATAAATAAAATCTGTAGCTGTTCATATACTTGTTTTTTGTCTCATTGGCAAACATTTTTTTATTATTAGAAGTTATTAAACAATTTATACGAAATTTTTAATTTATGAGGTCTACATGGACATGATGGAACCGACTATATACGATAACGTTACCATGTGTCAGCTTCTCTACCTTAATCATTTACTAAATACATATCTGTGACCGTTCTTACCATATAAAATCAACTGTATGTAGTATGTTTCATTAATCCCTCCTCTACAACTGTAAATCAACTCATCACCAGGTTGAGCGTTCAGTACATGTAAGCTGTAGTACAACCCAGTGCTTGTAACTGATACTCTGTACTTTGAATAATCAATTACAGCATCCCTACTAGCTATTATTGTAACATTTGTGAACCATCTCAGTATGTCCCTTTCAAATCTACACTGTAGAAATGCTTCATGTCCTTGTTTAACATACTGCTGAAAAGGATCTAATACTGAACCGTTACCAGCTGCATCAATTTCTGTGAAATATATACCTTAAAAGATTCAAAATTAATGATAAATCAATTAATCATTTAATCGAGAGTTCAGATCGTGAAATCTGGAGTACAGACTATTTTTTATATTGGTCGATATTTTGAACTTTCATTACATGTAAACGCTTTATGATTAGCTGACATAATAGGCCTGATAGGAAAGGAATTTACATACTGCGCTTATGTTTAATAACAATACAGGTACATGATTTAAGTGTGGACTTTCTCAAAATACAACTACACTGAAAAATATCCAGGCGTAGAACAGTTTAGCTTTGTGTTGTGTTTGATACAATATAGCGATCAATTAACGTCAACTCCAAATTTTAAAATATGCACGGACATTTCATAGATATTAGCATATGTATTTGTATTTAAATGATTTAGGAGTGCAAAACAAAACTTTAAAAACATAATTATAATGGTAAATAATGAAAAATGATAGATTTTATGGACAAAAGTCTTAAAATACAATTATGATATGAGTAAAATATGTTAAATAATCCAATAACTCAGTTTGTTTCTCCACAAGTACAGCACACAATTAAACAATTTGATCTAATTCGTCTCTTTGGTGTCTCCATAAAGTTACGATAACAATACATGTTTTTTAAAAGTAAAATCACAAAAATACTGAATTCCGAGGAAAATTCAAAAAGGAAAGTCCCTAATCAAATGGCAAAATCAAAAGCTCAAACACATCAAACGAATAGATAACAACTGTCATATTCCTGACTTGGTACAGGCATTTTCTTATGTAGAAAATGGTGGATTGAATCTGGTTTTATAGCTAGCTAAACTTCTCACTAGTATGACAGTCGCATCAAATTGCATTATATTGACAACGATGAGTGAACAAAACAAACAGACACAAAAGGTAAAAATGTCAGCAGTCAACATTGTGTTATCATCTTAATCACTATAAAAACAAACGACTGATGGAGTGTTCGACTAAACTTTACTCTCTGATATTCTTCCACTTTTTTTTTGGCATTTTCTTTTTTGCCTTCGTGTTTGTTGCTTAATTGGTGTCTTCTAAATGGCGTAACACTTGGTTGGCTTTATATCTTTGGCGCTCAACTTTACATCTCAAGCGTTAAACTTTATTTGTACAGCGCTAGATTTTGCATCTCCAGCGCTATACTTAATATCTACAGCGCTCGACTTTATATCTCCAGCTCTAAACTTTCTATATACCTTCAGCGCTAGAGGTTACATCTCGAGAGCTTGACTTTATATCTACATCGCGTGACTTTGCAGCTCCAGCGTTTGATTTTCTATACACAGCGACACACTTAACATCTCCAGCACTAGACCTTGCAAACCACAACTCTTTATCTGTATGAACTCAAGAGGGATCCGTAGATATAAGCGTATACGATAGTGTGAAGATATAACGAGGACCCATGACAAAAACATCACGTGAGTAAGCCTCTGTGAAAGTTTCACAATATTCTGTCGAGCAGTCTATGGATCAAATACAAAAATAGACTGATGGACGAACGAGCAAAAGAATGGACGGATCTCCTCCTCCACCTTTTACTTTATACTTTCCTATTTTGAAAGCGGAAAGTATGATAAATGTTCGTCAAAACAAAATAAATGAAATCGAAAACAAATTGCCCAGCAAATAATTAAGCAGGCTTTGCAACAGGTGAAAATAGATATTCCGTTTTCAAAATATCATCCAGACACAAAAATAATTTCTTTCTACTAATGAAAGCTTAACTCCAATTTCAGCATTATCCCAGATAAAACGTAGTCTTTGTTGTGTTGGTGAAGAAATCTGCGAACGAGAATAATAAATTCACACATTTTAACGTTTTTTTTTTTTGCAGGTATTGTCCCTTTTAAGAATTACATTAAATTACCAGAGTGGCATTTCTAGAAAAAATGAAAATAAAGCTAGTATGATAAAAAAGGACAACGTAATATGTCTCTTCTCGAAGGAGAAAGATCTACATTTCGAATATTGGAACCATATTTTGCATAAATAGTACTATAATTCCGCTGTCAGATTTATCATACACTACTCCACAGACAACCCGAATTTACCGATGCCAAAGTTTCTTGAATTACAGAATACAACATGGTATGGTTAAACAATTATATTGAATGAACAGTTATGATGGAAGTCGTCATCTGAACGAGTAGAGCAACATTGTTTTCAACTCTAGGTCTTTAACAAGAAGCAAAACACATACTGCATCAAAACTATAAAAGGCCCCGACATGAAAATAGAATAGAGAATGGAACTGGGGAATATGTCAAAGGGAAAACAACTCGACCAAAGAGCCAAAAAAAAAAAAAAAAAAAAACGGGCCAAAGGCTCAAATGGGTCAGAGGGAAAATCTCATTCAAATGAACCAATTTTAAAAACAAAACCACACAAGACTAAACAAGACTAAGAAAGGCTAGAAGTTCTTGACTTGGAACAGGCGTAAACATTCATAGGGGTTAACATTTTTTGTGAGATTTCAACCCTCTTCCTATACCTCTAGACAACATGTAATAAATAACCATAAGTATAAAAATAAGAGGATGTGGTATAAATGCCAATGAGACAATTCTTCATCACATACCAAATGACATAGAAGTCAACAGCTATAGGTCAACGTACGGTCTTAAACAATGAGCAAAAACCATACAGCATAGTTGGCTATTAAAGGCACCGAAATGACAAATGTTAAACAATTTAAACGAAAAAAACTAACGGCCTGGTTTATGTACAAAATAATGAGCGAAAAACAAATATGGTATACATCAACATACTTCAATCTCTGAATTACAAGCTCCTGAATTGGGACAGGAACATGCAGAATGTGGCGGGGTTAACTAGTTTCTAACCTGGGACAGTGGTGTAGCAGTACAACATAAGAACAGTAAATACAAATCAGTTGAAAAAAGACTTAACTCATCTGATCGATACAAAGCAGAAATACATTTAACAAAAACACAGACCGGACGTGACAGGCACAAAAGGCACTATGAACAGATCTGGGAGTATTTGCAGTTACTGATAGATACATGTAGTTCAAAGCCAATAACAACTAATAAAAAAAGCTTGTATCTAAGACGAAAATATCAATCAGAACAAATCAATTATCTACTGTATTTAGGGTAAAGACGTCATCTAACATCGGACTCTGACTTCTTTTAAACTGAGTTTTACTCTGCGTATTACTGTGTGTTTGTTTATTCTACATTGGCTTTAGGTATTGGGGGAGGGTTGCAATCTCACAAAACATGTTTAACCCCGCCGCATTTTTGCGCCTGTCCCAAGTCAGGAACCTCTGGCCTTAGCTAGTCTTGTATGTCGTTTTGTTTTTAATTTTGGTTCATTTATATGTTTCGGAGTTTAGTGTGACGTCCATTTTCTCTAAACCAGTATACATTTTGTTTTTGGGCCACCTAAAGCAGTTTCAAACACATCAATATAGGTAACTATAATGGATGATTTTCTGGGCCTTTTAAGATGGTCCCCACTGTAAACTGCAGTAGTATTGATGTTGGAAATCAGCGCCAGAATCGTGTTGACTTTTCTAACACGTCTTATATAGCGTATTTTGCCAATATCACCTTTGGACTTTCGAAATATTCCTTTAGAACTGTTTCGAGTCTTTGTTTATCATACCTCTGTCATGAATCAGATATACTACCCTAGGTTTTACTCCTACATGTGCATATCTGTCATTTTTCTATTTGTCAATTATGTTAAAAAGATGTAATTGAATTGGTGTAACTTTTACTTAATATTTACTTATTCCTTAATTAAAAGAGATTCTCTCTACACAATTCAAAAAGCAAAAAACAAAAACCACCAAGTAGTTGGTTCTACTAGAAAGTCTAATGGAATTCTATAGAAACCGGACGAAAATACGACAGTTCAGAAGGATTATTCGAAATTCAACATCTAAGTTTGAATACCGAAATTATTAATTCTAAATTCAATCCTAATCTTTAAATATGCGAGAATTTCAATTAGATGAATATTAAATCAGAAGATACGAGATAAGTGATAAAACTACATTATCATAAATGGGCCTTTTAAGATTTTCTTAAAATATATGAAACGATAAAAAAAAATATAGTAAATGAGTTTGCTGCGTTCTAAGCGCTTTTTCTGGATTGCTTGTGACTTTCATTGTTACAAAAACATGAAAGGGATTTTATGATTTGATGGGTTTATTTATTATTTTTGCTTCCTTGATGAACGATATTGTACATACAGTTCTCTTTCATACTACATATATCTATTTTAGTTCTCACATCATGTAGATGGAATCGAATGATTTAATAGTCAACTTTATAACAACAATAATTTTGAACTTAGCTAAAATATAGCTCTTTGCTGTTATACCACAAATGTTTTCCATCTTCTAGTCTTTGTAAAATTTGCATATTCAACAAAACAAATGTAAAGAATTGATCTTTGTTTCCGATAAAGAATGATTATTTCATTTGTGTACTTCGCATGAGTAAGGTTTTATAATGTCCAGTACTACAGTATTTTTTTTCAAATAAAAGTTCATTTCATATAAGATAATAAACATCACCGGAAGTAACCCAACCAGATGTTCATTACTTTTTTGTCCCTGTTTACAAGCTTTAGAAATAATATTACTTCAAGTTTAAAACATATTTTATAGAAACACCAAAAAAATAAAGAATGATGCTATGAAACACTCAAGATATATGTTTATGGTTTAATTTCGTACAAGGGTCAAATTTAAAGGAGTATTTTTTTTTTTTACTTTATTTTGTATGAGACCGGATATGAGACGTACTTTGTTTTGGTGGTATTACATGTACACCTTTTGCATGTAATGTAACTTGTGCATTACATTCTTGCTATACAATTTTTTTTTGCGCGTTTGGAACGTTCAAATGCTAAGTTTATTTTGAAATAATACTTCTAGATATGAGAATTGAATGGGTTTATTTGTAATTTTATTTGGATGAAAAAGCGTTAAACGAAGCACATTTTGT